TAAATTAACGATTACTTTTCTAAATCTTAAATGACGCAAAAAATTATATTAATTTTTCCAAAATCAATACTGTGCTATTTCCATATTTTGTAGTTTACATTTATTTTTTCTCTTTCCTTTATTTTCACATTAAATTGTTCTTTCTGATTTACTGAGATAATCCACTTAATCTTATATGTAATTGTGTTAATGTGTACGATCTTAAAATCTTTAGAAAGCAGTTTGTGCAAGCCAACCTCTCACAGAGCATTTGTACAATTCGACAGTCAATTTACAGAAAAAGTAAACGACATTTTTGTGACATTGAGGTAAGAAATCTAAATTCTCAGTTTGTATTCTTTCATTTTTCTTTCTTTTTCTTAAATTCGACGACATAAATATATCAAAATGATTCTGTTATAATTTTGTTAAAATATAAGATGGCTCAAATTTTATTTCAATTTATTATTTTAATTTATTTTAATTCAATTTAAATTAAATTCAATTTATTTTCTAACGACATCTCGAACATTGAAAAAGATCTTGAAAAGATCGAAACGTACGTATGTATTATTTTCTGTTTACTCGAATCAATTTTTTCAGACATATTTTTTATATTTTTATATCTGACTGATTATTAATATATTATGTCTCTTACTTAGAGTCTTTATTATTATTTCGACTTTTTTACGCTCTGACATCTTGCGCCACGTTCTTTTAGCCTTCCTTTTTATTTCGTTTTGCTAAAATTTTATGTTTTCATAGATGGAAAAAACCAATATGTGCCGATGAAATAATACAAGTGTACCAAGTGCAGTGTTCTTTTTTCGAGAACTTTAAAGAAACCTGTGACGATAAAAATATCACAGCTACAAAATTGGAGCACACAGTGCACAATCTATCATCTAACACGACATATTATTTTCGAGTACGTGCGCATACTAAAATTGTTGCTGGTCCTTACATGGATTTAATCTATGTGTCGACTACACATGAAAGGTCAATACCTAAATTATTATTTAAAACGTTTGATGGTATCAAATTATGGGACTTCGAATTAAACATTTATATTACTAATGTCGTAAATTTTACAAAGTAAGTAATTTTACAGAATATACTGATAAAAAAAAATGGTTTTAATTATCATAAATCATTTTTAATTATAAAGTTAAAGTTATTATTATTATGCACAAGTTTATTATTATCAACATTATAGTAGTCATAACTATAAAATTAAAAATCTCGACTATAATTTTTTTACCATACAATTATAATTCCTTTTTTTCAGTTTAGAAAATGAGACTATTTTAGCAAGCTATGTGACACTCACTTATTTAATACAAGACCATAGAATTTATTGGATTGTCGAAAAAGATCTAATAACATTGAAGATTAATGAAAATAATATCACAAAAATAGCTAGCTTTGATAATTATCTATCTAACCTCTGCATTGACTGGGTAGCAAGAAATTTATATTTCACCTATCGGCGGTCAGACTACTATTATATTGTAAAGTTCGACTTAACAATGTGGGAAAATGGCATAATTAAATTTGATGAGATTATCAAATCGCAAAATGATATTCTCCATTTAAATGTATCACCGTCTATAGGGTACGTTTACTACCGTTCACCTGAGAAAATAATTATTCATTAAAGATTGATGCAAATTTGTAATTTTTCTATAATTTTACGTGGTTTTATAATTAAAATCATAAGTAAAAAATATAATAAGTTGTTATATAATTATAAGAATTTCGAATTTTTACTACATATAAATTTCTGTTTTAAAATAATGTTAAATAATTCTATGTTAAAATAATGTTTTATAATGAGTAAAATAGTTACATATTTTTTAGAATGTTACACTTCCACGCAATAACATGCAGTAATAGCAGAACTGCAAAATTTATTATGGGGAAATATCATCTCGGTAGAGAAAGAATCAAGCAAACTGTTGAGATAGATACATCCATTTATCCAATTAAACCTATAATTTCTTTTCGTGATATAATAATTGATGATATGAATAATGAGAAGCCGTTAATTTACTGGTTAACTGAGAATCATATAATTGTATCAGACATTAACATTTCTATGCAGAATACGATTTTACACAAGAAAAACATAGGACATAACATCTCCTTCCAATCTATGACGATAGACAAAACAAATATCTACATTTTCACATTTAAAAGACATCTTCCCGACGATACATATATGTACATATACGTTTTGAATAAGAAATATGCAAGTCTAAGGAGCAAAAATGCAGCCAATCATGTTAAAAGGATAATAATACGCTCAGAGCAATTCATTCATAAAATTTACGCTTTTGATGAATCTTCACAACCATATCCTTCAATGAGATGTGTGACACCTTACGAAAAAGTTTACAATTTTGAGAATGTGACTGCAACGGCAAACAGCATCATTGTAAATCTTCCGCAGCCGGTTGTAAAGAGTGGATGCAAAAAATATAATTTACCAACTACTATATATACTATCTCTGTAAGCTGTTTAAACAACAATCTCAACAAGTCTAAGAAATTCAATGTGCTGCGATATGTGACGTGCGAGCGACATTACGAGATTCAAAATTTAACACCATTTACAAAGTACGAATTGAAGTTTACTTTAAGCAATTTTTACTTTGATCAATTATCAATAAATCCATTCGATTCGAATGTGATACCATTAAAAACTAAGCTTAATGCACCAGAAAAAATAAGTGTTTTACTTTTGACGCCTACTATAGCAGTAGTTCATTGGATGCCACCCAAGAAATTGAATTGCGTGGGTGTGATCTACGAAGTGCATTGGAAGTCAGTTATATTAGTGAACGGCATACAACAAAAGAGCAAACAATTTATTAATATGCCGAAACGTATGATAGATGGCAGATTTTTCACAAAGATTAACTTGTCGCTACCAGTAAAAGATTAGTGATATACGTGCGTGTGTATCCAATTAATATTAGCGATTTCTACAACGAGAGTTTAAACGAGATCGTTCACATATCCTCAGAACCAAACAATATTACTTTGAACGAGGTTGACATAAATAGCATGAACATTTCATGGATCTCTAACATTAATCTGACGATCTCTTTTACACTAGAGTACAAAGATATTGCAGCAGAAAAGTGGCAAACAAAGAATTCTTTTAAAATGAATTATAAAGATAAAGTAATATACTATGTCCAAAATTTACAATCGGGAACTTTATACAAGTTTCGCTTGATATTGAGATATCTCGAATATGAGGAAACTTTTATATGGTCGGCTGATGAAAGATTTATTTTTTCAACACGTGGTAGCAAACGTGGTAAGCAAATGAAAATACCTATACAGCACGATAAGGTTGCGGATATATTGAAGAATAATTTCATTGAAAGATTGCAATATTGCAAATCAAATGCGAAACTTTGCTGAGTTATTGTTATAAGATTGTGATAAAGTTAAAGTGTTCGCTTTTTGCAATGAAATATTGTAACAATATTACACTGTAATATATTGGAAAGAATGCAACGTTATTGCAGCTATTTAATAACATTACGTATAAAATATTTTTGTTTTTGATGGATGAATATCTTGGAAACATTTAATTAAATTAAAAAGCTTGATATAAATATTAGTTTATGATATCTAATATATTGCAAAATTATATTTAAACATAACATCATATAAAATAAAATGTTATATTTTTATATAAAATTACTCTAAACTATTACTTACGAATCACTTTTTTTATTATAAATGTTCTGTATACTCTTATAATATATTTTATACACATTTATATATTAGTTATAGAATTAATTATACATTCCTAATTACATTTTTATTTAAAAATTTAAAAATTTTTAAAATCCGTTATAATTACATATATTTGCATGTGAAAAGTACAGAAAAATGCATAGAAAAATATAATGATAGATATAATAATATATAGTCTTAATATAATAAAAAGATATATTATCTTTAAAGATTAATATCGTATTCGTACATGAAGTGAAAATATATCATAAAATATATTGTAACATTGATATAAAATGTTATCTATATTTTAATAAAAAATAGCAAGGTTTATCTGTAGCTTAGAATTATATTTACTCGATATTATTTGTGTTAATAATTCATTTGACTTTTGCAAAAAAGTAAAATTCATCGCATATATACAGACATAAAAAAATATATTATTACATTATTTTTATAGATAAATTAAAGAGTGTTATAGTTTTAAAATGTTTTCAAAATATGAATATCATATTGCTAATATCTAATTCACATTTTGTTAAATTATATTTCTACAATGTTTTCGTAATGTTGCCTTGCAATTTGTAATATTGCAACATTGTTGCAAAGTAGTTGTAATATTTTGTGCTGCATAGATATTATAATATTATGTGCTGATATTTTTTGGATATGAATAGGCCTAAAATTAAAAAAAATTAAATCTTATAATAATCGTTATAAGTAAAAATAAATTTGTAAAAATATACACACATGAAGATATTAAAATTATACTTTTGCTTAATCTAGATATTCCGAGCACTCCTGGAATAATAGCGAATAAATATTACTTATTATTAATGTTGGTTATAGTTCCTATAATCTGCATTTTTTACATTTATCGTTGTAAGTATATTTGATATAAATGTCAACTTGAATTGCAGATTATACATATATATCTGATATAATATCTAGAGATTTACTAGAGAAAATAGTAATTTACTTATATAAAACTAAACGTATAAATTTACTAAAATACAGTAAATTTTATAATACGTATTATTACATAATTAAATCGAAATTTTATAATAGTGTATCGTCAACGCAGAGGTAATAATGAACAATTTTTGTCTTCTACAATGACCGATGTAGAATTGGCGATTCTACCTGAAGTACCTTGCCGAAACACTCAATTCAATATGATTTACAGTCCTATGTTACATTATAACCCGGATGAATGCGCGATAACTAGACTCGCACGAAATCAAATTATACTTAAGAAAGATCTTGGTAGCGGCGCATTCGGAATGGTAAAAATTAATTTTCTTAAGCGATATTTTAAATTATTTTTTGGATTAACAAAACAGATACGTATTTTTAATAAAAATATAAATTACATGAATTTTTTAAATAGATTATAAGTAATATAAAATTTACATGAGAAAACAAGCATGCACTTTATTATATACTTTTCATTGAATTATTTAATATAAAGTAAAATAAAGTAAAATATAAAGTAAAATACTACTTCACATTAAATTATACATTTTTCAATAAAGTACGCATGTAAATTTGTGTGAAATATTTTGCAGGTATATCAAGGAAAGGTGAAGGATTTAGAAAAATCGGGCACAGAGAAATCCGTTGCAATAAAAACGCTTCCAAAAAATTCTTCTTCCCATGAGAAAGAGAAATTGTTAAAGGAAGCCAAGCTTATGAGTCATTTTCAACACAAACATATATTAAGATTATTGGCCGTTTGCTTAGATGGAGATTCTCCGTTACTAGTGTTGGAATTGATGGAAACTGGTGATCTGTTAAGATATTTGAGAGAATGTCGAAATTTGCAAGCGTCAGATTCGCTTGCTCTGCGTTTGCAAGATTTGCTCGCCATGTGCGAAGATATTGCGCGAGGTTGTTTGCTACTTGGAAGAGTTGCGTTTCGTACATAGAGATCTAGCGTGTCGCAATTGTTTAGTATCTTCGAGGAATCGAGAGAATCGTGTCATCAAAATTGGAGACTTTGGACTAGCTAGAGAGATCAAGGATGATTATTATCGCCTGGTATATATAATTATGGAAAAAAGTTAATAATTAAAAAATGAATTCTTCTAAAAATACTTTCTATTTTTTTATCATAATAGTATCATGCATTGTTTTTTTAAGTAATATAGAATATAAGTAGTTTTTATTTATATATAGCAAGAGATAAATTAACGTTTTTGATTTTGCACACATTCTAGAAATGAACAACTTAAATCAGAAAATTAAATTCATGTTTAAATCATGTTTTAGAAAGGAGAAGGTTTGCTTCCTATTCGATGGATGGCACCCGAATCTTTGATAATGGGAATATTTACTTCTCAAAGCGATGTTTGGTCATTTGGAATATTAATGTGGGAAATTACATCGTTGGGTGAGCAACCTTATAGTGCCAAGACTAATGAAGAAGTGGTAAATTATGTACGTGCTGGAAACAGGTTGCCGATGACTCTTAACTGTCCGTCAACATTGTACCAGTTGATACTGAGTTGCTGGAACACAGTGGATGCCAGATCAAATTTTAATTTTTGTCTGAAAAATATTATAGTATTTAGAAAGAACACGGAAGATGCTTTATTGAGTCCAGTCGATACTATTTAGCCGATATAATTAAATTAATGTTTATCTTATTTTCCAAACGACTCAATAAATCTTAATGTAAAAAAAATATTTCTAGGATATTTCTAAATTGATTCTAATCTGATTATTTTTAGGTTTAATCTTAATGTTACATATATCAATGAAAATTAAAGAAATTTTGTAATCTTACTTTTCATACAATTTTGATTATTATTAAAAAATATCACATCCGTTTTCATGATTGTACAAAATCAAATAATATAATGATATATCTAATTTGTGTTTTTGAGTAATCGAAGCAAAATTTAATGATTGTGATTATATGTATATGTATAAACAAAATTTTTTTGAACACGGGAATATAATTAATTTTCGACATTATATATGATCGATAATTACAAACTGATGTAATATTATGAGTGAAAGAGGAAACGCGAATTATGTCCTCTATAATTAGTTGTGAATATATAAATATAATAATATAATTATTTTTGAATTTATAACAGTTATCATGAATGAACTTTTTGCATCATTCGTGATAAGTATATACATATATTATATCTTTTTATTTAATTACTCACTATATATTCAAATTATATTGATGATTACAAAAGCAAGCAGTCGTACAGGGTGTTTTCGCAACATACACATCTTTAAGTCTGGTTGCCTGACTGCCCACCATCAGGCGCATGCTTTATTGTGCTCGCAGAATAAGATTAGAATGCCAATTCGGCGAAGAGTAAAAAAAAAAAGGGAAATCAACTTTTATCATTCTGTTATAGTGATCAGTTGCGAAATTTAATAATATAGATCAAATATATTTAATAATATAGATAATAATAATATATAGAAATTTAATAATATAGATACAATACATTTAATAATATATAAAGAATATAATATATAGGGAATGTGTATTCTCCATAATTTATCCGTTATTTAATATAGGTTATAACATATTATTAATTTAGATTATTACACTTTATTTAATTATATTTAATAGTATATATTATCATATATTAATAATGTAAATAATATTTAACAAACAAATTTAAACAAAAAAATTATAATAAAAAATAAAAAATAATAATGATATAATAATGAAAAATATTTTTAGTCTTTAAATATAATATAATAAATTATAATAATTGTTCAATATAACCATTATTTTCTTCTAAACATGGAGCAATTCTGCGCATGAAATTTTCTCTCACTCGTCTTAGCATAAGAGGTGTGATCTGTGCACACACATTACGAATCCTGTTTTTAAGAATTTCTGCATTTTCTGGCAGGGTTTAGTAAACTTTATTTTTTAAGAAGCCCCACTTGAAAAGTCCATAGGTGTGAGATCCGAAGAGCGTGGTGGCCATTCCTGAGGATCATGAAGTCCGATCCATCACCCAGGTAATTTTTGATTTAAAATGATTCTTGCCAAAATAGAAGTGTGAGCGGGATGTCCATCTTGTTGAAGTATTATTTCTAGCCTATTAACTAGTGGCACATCTTCAAGGTGTTCATCAAGCCGATGGAGTAAAAAATTTGTAAATAATAATCTGCATTGATTTAAATAAATTCGGGACCGATAATGTGATCCCCTACTATTCCTTAGTCACACATTTATAGCCCACCTGCCTTGAATGTTTACTTCCTTCATACAATGTGGATTATGCTGCGCATAATGATGCTCATTATGTCTGTTTATGCATCCGTCACTTTTAAAAATTGCCTCGTCACTCCAGAAAATATATTTTTCAAAAATATACGTTAAAATAACGTATAAAAATAACGTTTCCGACATCATTGAAATTCATCTGAGTAAATCGAGTTTAAAGTATTAGTATAAAGTTGACGACTAATATCAATTGACAACAAAACGTCTGATATGTTGCAACAAAAAAATAGAAAATAAATTTTTAAATATTACTATACTAATATAAATATACTTTTAAATATAACTATACTAATATAACTATACTTACGTGTTCAATAACCCATTCACAAAAATTTATTCGTCGTAGCATATCACGAGGTACAAGCTCGTGTGTTGTATGCCGTTTAAAGGAATGCCAACCCAGGGAATATTTAATAATTTTATGAACAGTAACCTGATTCATGTTCAAATGCGGTAGCTGCTCTTGTGCTTATATGAGCATTTGTTATAACAGCCTCTTGAACAGCATCAATTATTTCTTGTGGAACATGAATGAGCCTGGTGGATTTATAAAATTGTCCATTTCTTTTTAATCTTTCACACAAGCGGTGAAAGAAACTATGGTCCACATGTCGTCTGTCCAGAAATCTTTGAGCGTAAAGTGCAGCCGTTTGCCTTTGATTTTTTCGATACTCGCCATAAATAAGGATCATGTCCGTTAATTCTTCGTATGAATAATTATTTCCTTCCATCGTAATCTCTTACGTATGATTTTTTCCACCAACAAAATTGTTTGAGTATCGATGTGCATTTCTGTTTTTATAATTTCTTGATCATCTCTTGTTTGTTGATTTGAACATGACTCATGTTAGCATTCAAAAAATTATTAAACATTCCTGGGGGAAGGTTGGCATCCTTTTAAATAGCATACAATAAAAGCTCATATTTGGTGATATGCCACGACGTTAAAATTTTTTTGAATAGCTTATTGAACATGTAAGTTTATTTTAAAAATTTATTTTTTATTCTTTTATTGCAACATACCAAACATTGTTATTATTTACCAATTTATTAATTATGTCGTTAACTTTACAATAATAACATTGTTATTATTTACCAATTTATTAATTATGTCGTTAACTATATACTAACTCAATTTATGTAAATGAATTTCAATGATGCCGGTCGATATATTTTTGAAAAATGTTCTCCGGGAAAATATTCTACGAAGCCATTTTTGGAAGTGATGGATGCATAGATATAATAAGTATTTTTTATTATGAGCTTCTTAAAAAAAATAAAGTGTATCAAATTTTGCAGGAAAATGATGTGGAAATTCTTAAAAATAGATTTCTTAACGCGTGTGCGGAAATCACTTCTTTCATGATAAAACGAATGAGAGACATTTTCATGGACAGGATTGCTCGTTGTTTAGAAAAAAATAGTGATTACATCAATTTTTATAATTATATTTATTATATTTATTATATTTAAAGATAAGAAATATTATTCATTATAAGTATTTTTTATTATATTTGTTCAAATTTACTTATTAAACTATTTATGTTATTTTATCTAAATTATTAAATAAATATTTTATTTATATTATTAAATTGAGCAACTGTTCCCTACAGAGTGATAAAAGCCGATTTCCCTTTCCTTATTCTTCTTCGACCTTGCATTCTGATCTTATTTTGCGAGCCCAATAAAGCATGCCCCTGGTGGGCAGATAGGCAACCCGACTGATGTGTATTGTTGGAAACACCCTATATACAGGGTATCGCAGACCATCCGTAACAGTCGAATATCTCAAAAACTGAGTACAGCAGACAAAAATATTTCAGACAAAAGTTATAAAGTTGAAAGGGAGCCATAAGATGGTGTCATTAGTTTGACCTTGGAAAGCCGTTTGAAGGTCACCTTTAATTTTTTAAATGGAACCTCCTATTTTTTATTATTTATTCTTGTAGCTTATCTCGAGAACTTTCGAAAACACTATAATAAAATATTTTTTCATTTCTTCACACCAATCCAACATCCACCCAAAGGTGTGAGGCCGAATAGCTCAGTGGTAAGAGCAGTTGTCCGACAAGCGAAAGACTCGGGTTCGTTTCTCGATTCAGCGACGTCGCCCCGATATTTTTCTCGTCTACATCTCTTCAAGAAGTAAAGAGAGGTCTACAGAATTCTCAAAATTTGAGAATCTATACCTTGGTAAATGCACCAAGTAAAATATATGCATATGCCTTGTGCACGTTTTAAATTTTTGCGAATAATTAATCTTTAAAAAAAAATTTGCGCACTACCATCCGCGGCTCTTAATCCCTTTTTTCTTGTGTAATGTGTTTCTTATTAATGTTTTACGAATAAAAAATATCGGATACGTTTAAGAAACGTATATAAAACGAATGTATGCTACCTCGGGCATCATAGCATATCTTAAAGTTATTTATTGACGACAGTCACGTGTCATAAAACATTGTGTTTCGTCATTTATTGACGTAATTAAAGGTTAACTATCCATTTGATATCAATGCTGTCTAGTTGCAATGCGGGCGGAAATTAAATTAAACTTTAAATTTTATCTCGAAAATATTGTAGTTCTAAAAAGTGATGTAAAAGAGATGATATATTGAATCCAATAAATATTATTGTTATATGTATTATCTAACTGATAGAAATAACTTATTGTTAATTAATGAAAAAAATTGTAAATAAATATGCATGTATTAATACTTGAATGTTTGTTTTCTTACGATACTTATTAGATATTCAACATGTGTACTTCTGTATTTTATATATTATACAAGATCTGCACACTTTTTAATATTAACCATTTTGTAAATTCGTAAATGTTAACACACAATTGTAATTTTCTTTTTAAACTTTTTTTATATTATGTTTTGGAGCTTTTTCCTATTTCAAACTGTACATATAAATCTTTGTACATACATATATCATTGCTGTGGAGGGATTAAATTTTTCTAAATTTATAAAATATTTGAAAATACGTCTATTATTATGCATGAATTTAAAAAAGAGACCATTATATAAATACTTGTTTAATTATTCTTAGTTATTCTTGACACACAATATTATTCTTAATTATTCTTAGCAGAATGTATCTTTAAAAATATAAAAATAGTTTTGAAAATAAAAATGTTGTATATCATTTAATATATGAATGAACTGAATAAATCACAAAAGGAGACCGAAGCATTAGAAAATTACTTTTTTGAAAAAAGTAATTGATTTATAACGGGGAAAGAGAGAATTTGATTGGATGCACTAATGCACATTGGTGCATATAAAAATTGTCATATAGAAAATTACAATAATATAATTAAAATAATAATGTAATTAATATTATTAGTTTTTTATATTATATATTATATTAAGTATATTATGTTAAGTTAATATTAAGTAAAATTATATTATATACGTTATTATAAGTTTATTTGATGTAAATAACGATAATAATAACTCGTACAATTATTTTATTTATTTTAGTTATTTATGTGCTATTGAAAATTTGTATTTCTTTATACTAGAAGATTTATATTAAAAACGCTATGTATTGATTCAAACTGCATTATATGAATGTCATAGAAAACGTATAAATCGCTTTTTTAAATCCATTATTACTTTTTTTATAATCAGAATTTCTTTTTATAGTAAACTTTTATAGTACCTTTTATGCCAAAGAAAAGATACTCAGAAATAAATTAATGTAGAAAGTTTATAATATAATTCATTAAACAATTATATATACAAATAATTATTTTTATTTATACATTGAATTATTTTTCTTTTATACATATATATCTTTTTTGTCAAATAGTTTTTAAAGATTTTAATTCTCTTTGAAATAACGCGAGTATCTCCGTGGAAAAAAATAAATTACAAACGGAATGCAGTTAATAAGACGTCATGGCAACACATGATCAGATTGATCATTCGAAGTCAGTTAGTATTGTGTTGGCTAGCCAAACACACTACCGCGTTACTTATCGTTTGATTTAAACTGCATCATATGAATATCATAAAAAATTGTGTACGAATAGTGGATTTTAAAAGCATACGTAGTAAACGAATTGTCTTAATTACATATTTAATAAAATTAAAGATATAATAAATATTCAAGTGAATTCGATTACACGCTGCATGTGCTTGAATATGGCTGAAAATGTTACAACATCTATAATTCTATAACTTCTCTGATCGTGTGTAATTTGATTGTGGTTATTTTTTTATCGATGTTTTTCTGCTAATATTAATAAAAAAAAAGCTGATAATAATTATATTCTTTTGTTTGCTATACAATCATTTGGTATCATTTTGCATTGCCATTTGTTCTCTTAAAAAATTATTTATTTACTAAAAATTCGCGAATTTAATCTTAAGATATATATTGTGATCACGACCATAAAGAGAAATCTAAAAACATAATATTAGAAGATAATAACATACGATTTGTTAAAACTGAATTTTAAGGAATTTATCGAAAATAAATTTATATATATGAATTAATGTCAATTCGATTAACATATCAGAATTAGCAGAGTGAGAAAAACAATTAACTGTGAATTCAACGGGAACTGATTGAGTGTAAACGTTTAAGAAAAATGCAAATCATGTTTGGGACAATTTTCTGTATTTTATTGAAAGGTTTAGTATTAACAAAGGCAACTATCACGCCGAATGATTATACCACTTCAAACATTCTCCAGGAAGAAAATGTTTCCATGCGTCCGGAATTAAATTTCACGCAGGTAAGAGATATTTTCGTTTGATTAAGAAACAATTGAATGTTATTGCAGTTAGTAGTATAACTAAACATGAATAAAAATAAATTATATATTCTACATATAATAAGATAAGATAAAATAAAATAATTTAATATGAAAAAAAAGTATGTACGATGTTGTAAAAAAAGATGGATAAAGTATATATATATATATATATATATATATATATATATATATATACATATATATAAAATAATTATTTCTAAAAATAACAATTATTAAAATTAATGAAGTTTTGTGTCTACTATCTGCTACATTAATATACACATACAATGGCACTTCAACAAATTTTTATGTTATTTTTCTTCAATTTTTAAAATTTCTTTATTTTTCTAGATATATATATATATATATATATATATACATATATATATATATATATATATATATATATATATGTATAATAATATTTATTGATCTAAAGTAAGCTTTATATTAATGTACATTTTATTTTATAAAATTAATTTAGAAAGTTAGCATTATTTCTTTGTGTTTAGGATAATTATATAACGGGACAGAGCTACTAAATATCGAGATAGAAAATCTGTGTGATAAAAAAATCATTCATCAAACATTCTTCAAGTTGTATCTATTAACGCTAATATTTCGATCGACAATATATTCAACAACTATCGCTGGAATTTATATTAATTTTCATTGTACATATATTCATTTATATACAATTATATACACATATTCTTATCGAGACATTATCGGTTTATACTATCGGTTTATATTTATTATTTGCTGAATTTGTTTGTGTTAAAAATATAACGAACATTCACGAAACAATTCGCGAAAAAACTTGACAAGGTAATAAATAAAAGAATTTATATAATTCTATGACTAATATTTAATAACTTTAAAAAAACAATATTTTTAATCTTTTTATTCTTGAAGTACAAACATTAATAAAACTTTAGTAATATCGGCAAACTTTTAAAAAGAAATATGAGTTACGGTATAATCGAATAGAGTTAATTAACTCATCGTGAGAATGAATTAAATCGTTAGACAAAAGTTTTTTAATAATTGCAAAGAGCTACACTTTCGCTTGTATTTGACAAAAGCTGTTATGAATCCTCATTGACTCTCGTTAATCTATTGATTGATTTTCTTTTTAATATGAGTTATGTTTGATATAGAAGATGCCTTTATTAAAAAAATAAATAAAAAATAGATTTTATGATATAATAAAACTACATCACATTCAATTTATATCATTTAGGAATGGTACATATCAAACCGGTATTATTAAGCAAATCAAAAACGAATGGCAATTTTTTGTTTAATTTTATATATTATATAATTTATCATTAAAAGCCAGAAACAATCGTCTCAATGATATTCACTTAATTCTTTTGTATGTTACATTTTATGAGGGATATTACAATGTCCGAGAAAAGTGACCATCATATACTAAATTTCAAATCTGACCGGAGTCATTCTGATAGTACTGTGAGAAATGAGCGAGAAGTCGATGAAGTTACACTTGGAAATATTACTATCATTCCAGAATCTATCGGTAAGTTGCAAAAAAATAAAACATTAATAACAAAATCTATGATAAAAAAGGAAATATAATTTAAATTCAAGAGAGAATGGCAATCAAATCTAAAAATATCTTCCAATATAGAAAAGAATATAAATTCTAATTCTGCCCTAAAATGAAACAGAAAAGCATAATATAAACATAACATTGTACATAAAAGTTGTTATAATTTAAGGTAAAATCAATTTTATTAATATATTACTCTGTTTTAAAGCAGTCGCAAATATTATACTTCTGACTTTTTAAGCTATACGAATTTTTCGAAAGGTACTTGTCATTTTAGTAAAAATTATTTATTCGTTTTTGCAATAAATTAACGATTACTTTTCTAAATCTTAAATGACGCAAAAAATTCTTATGTTATTTTTTTAAAGATCAATACTGTGCTAATTTCCATATTTTGTAATTTACATTTATTTTTTCTCTATCCTTTATTTTCACATTAAATTGTTCTTTCTGATTTACTGAGATAATCCACTTAATCTTATATATAACTGTTAATGTGTACGATCTTAAAATCTTTAGAAAGCAGTTTGAGCAAGCCAACATCTCTCATTGTCAGAGCATTTGTACAATTCGACAGTCGATTTACAGAAAAAGTAAACGACATTTTTGTGATATTGAGGTAAGAAATCTAAATTCTCAGTTTGCATTCTTCCATTTTTCTTTCTTTTTCTTAAATTTAACGACATAAATATATCAAAATAATAATTCTGTTATAATTTTGTTAAAATATAAAACGGCTCAAATTTTATTTCAATTTATTATTTTAATTTATTTTAATTTAATTTTAATTTAATTTAATTTATTTTCTAACGACATCTCGAACATTGAAAAAGATCTTGAAAAGATCGAAACGTACGTATGTATTATTTTCTGTTCACTCGAATCAATTTTTTCAGACATATTTTTTATATTTTTATATTCTGACTGATTATTAATATATTATGTCTCTTACTTAGAGTTTTTATTATTATTTCGACTTTTTTACGCTCTAACATCTTGCGCCACGTTCTTTTTAGCCTTTCTTTTTATTTCGTTTTACTAAAATTTTATGTTTTTACAGATGGAATCAACCAGAATTTGCCGATGAAATAATACAAGTGTACCAAATGCAGTGTTCTTTCTTCGAGGACTTTAAAGAAATCTGCGACGATAAAAATATCACAACTACAAAATTGGAGCACACGGTGCACAATCTAACATCTAAGACGACATATTATTTTCGAGTACGTGCGCATACTGAAATTGTTGCTGTCCTTACACGGATTTAATCAATGTGTCGACTACACATGAAAATTCAATACCTATATTATTAGTTTCAATGTATAAACGTGTCGAAGTATGGGACTTGGATTTAAACAGTTATATTACTAATTTCGTAAATTTGACAAAGTACGTAATTTTACAGAATATACTGATAAAAAAAATGGTTTTAATTATCATAAATCATTTTTAATTATAAAGTTGAAGTTATTATTATTATGCACAAGTTTATTATTATCAACATTATAGTAGTCATAACTATAAAATTAGAAATCTCGACTATAATTTTTTTACTATAAATTATAATTCCTTTTTTCAGATCAGCATTTAGTTTCATTTATTCATCAATATGTGTCACTTATTTGATACAAGACCATAGAATTTATTGGATTGACGAAAAAGATCTAAAGATTCTTTGAAGACTAAAGACTAAAGATCTAAAGACTCATTGAAGATTAATGAAAATAATATCACAAAAATAGCTTCGAACTATATTTATATAATCTCTGCATTGACTGGGTAGCAAGAAATCTATATTTTACCTATAATGATTTTACCTACTCTTATATTATGAAGTTCGACTTAACAAAGCGGAAAAATGGCATAATTAAATGTGATGAGATTATCAAATCGCAAAATTATATTCTCCATTTAAGTGTATCACCGTCTATGGGGTACGTTTACTACCGTTTACCTGAGAAAATAATTTTTCATTAAAGATTTACAAATTTGTAATTGTTCTATAATTTTACGTGGTTTTATAATTTAAATCATAAGTAAAAAATATAATAAGTTGTTATATAATTATAAGAATTTCGAATTTTTACTACATATAAATTTCTGTTTTAAAATAATGTTAAGTAATTCTATGTTAAAATAATGTTTTATAATGAGTAAAATAGTTACATATTTTTTAGAACGTTGTATACGTTGTTATAGGTAACATACAATAATAGGACAATGACAGAATATAGTATGGTGAAATATCATCTCGATGGAGAAATCGAGTAACATGTTAAGATAAATACATCCTTTTGCCTATTTCATTCTATAGATTATTTTCATGATATAATAATTGATGACATGAATAATGAGGAGACGTTAATTTACTGGTTAAGTGCGAATTACATAATTGTAACAGACATTAACATTTCTATGTGCAATACGATTTTATACAAGAAAAACATAAGTGTTAATAATACCTTTGACTTCCATTTTATGACGATTGACAAAACAAACATTTACATTTTAGCAACTATTAGGAATGATTTTAATTCTGAAAACGCTATATACGCTTTGAAAAAGAAATATGCAATTCTCAAGAGCGTAAATGCAGCCAAATATGTTGAAAAGATAATAAGAATAGATAATAATGTTATATTTAATTAAAAAAATTACGCTTCTGATAAATCTTTACAAACATATCATCCACTGAGATGTCTGACACCTTACGAAAAAGTTTACAATTTTGAGAATATGAATGCAACGGCAAACAGCATCAATGTAACTTTACCGGAGCCGGTTGTAAAGAGTGGATGTAAAAAATATAATTTACCAATTACTATATATACTATCTCTGTAAGCCATTGTTTAAACAACAACCTCGACAAGTCTGAAAAATTCAATGTGCTGCGATATGTGACGTGCGAGCGACATTACGAGATTCAAAACTTAACACCATTTACAGAGTACGAATTGAAGTTTATTTTAAGCAATTTTTACTTTGATCAATTATCAATAAATCCAATCAATTCGAATGTGATATCATTAAAAACTAATTCGGGCAGCTTAATGCACCAGAAAACATAAGTGTTTTAGCTTTGACGCCTCTTATAGCAGTAGTTCATTGGATGCCAGCAATTGAACTGCGTGAGCGTGAACTACGAAGTGCATTGGAAGTTAGTCAATGACACGCAACAAAAGAGCAAACAATTTATCAATATGCCGAAACGTATGACAGATGGCAGATTTTTCATAAAGATTAACTTGTCGCTACTAGTACAAAATTACTTGATTACGTGCGTGTGTATCCAATTAATTTCAGCGATTTGTACAACGAGAGTTTAAGCAAGATCGTTCACATATCCTCAGAACCAAACAATATTACTTTGAGCGAAGTCAACATAAATAGCAGGAACATTTCATGGATTCTCTAACATTAATTCGAAGATCTTTTGTATACTGGAATACAAAGAGATTGCAGCAGAAAAATGGCAAACAATAAATTATTTTAAAATAAATTATAACAATGAAGTAATGTACCGTGTCTCGAAAATTTACAATCGGGAACTTTATACAAGTTTTGCTTGATATTGAGATATCTCGAATATGAGGAAACTTTTATATGGCCGGCTGATGAAAGATTTATTTTTTCAATACATGGTAGCAAACGTGGTAAGCAAATATCCATACAGCACAATAAGGTTACGGATATTGAAGAATAATTTCATTGAAACATTGCAATATTGCAAATCGAATGCGAAACTGCTGAGTTATTTTTATAAGATTGTGAAGAAGTTAAGCTGTTCGTTTTTTGCAATTAAATGTTGTAGTAATATTATAGTGTAATATATTGGAAAAAATGCAATGTTATTGCAACCATATTTTTGTTTTTGATGGATAAATATCTTGGAAACATTTAATTAAATTAAAAAGCTCGATATAAATAGAAGTTTGCAATATCTAAGATATCATGTCTAAGATAATATATTGCAAAATTGTATTTAAACATAATCATATACACAACATAAAATGTTATATTTTATACAAAATTACTTTAAACTCTTACTTACAAATTTTCTTATTTTAAATGTTCTATATACTCTTATAATGGGTACATTATACACATATATATATATTGATAGTGATAGAATTAATTATACATTACTAATTATATTTTTATTTAAAAATTTAAAAAATTCGTTATAATTATATTTATTTACATGTGAAAAATACATAAGAATGCATAGAAAAATATAATGACAGATATCTATTCTTAGCATAATAAAAAAATATATTATCTTTAAAGATTAATATCGTATTCGTAAATAAAGTGAAAATATATTTGTAATATTGCAATATTGTTGCAAAGTAATTGTAATGTGCTGCATAGATATTATGTTATATTATAATTTTTTAAAATATAAATATGGACCAAAAATTATATTTTGTATTAAAGTTATAAGTAAAAATAAATTTGTAAAAACATACACAGAAGAATTGTAAAAACATACAACAAAGATATTAAAATTAAATTTTTGCTTAATATAGATATTCCGAGCAATCCTGAAATAATAGGAAAAAAATATTACTTATTATTGATGTTAAGTTTTATCGTTATAGTTACTATAATCTGCGTCTGCTACTTTTATTATTGTAAGTATGTTTGATTTGGCTATTGACTTGATTTGTAGATTATACATGTATGTATATATATATATAATAAAATATCTAATATAGCAAGAACAACAAGAAAGAAATTAAAATGGTAATTTGGAATATAGCAGGATTGACAGAGAATAAGGAGGATAAATTAGAGTATATAAAGAGATTTGATATAATAGGATTAGTAGAAACTTGGATAATAAAAGAGAAAGAAGAGTGGATTAAAGAAAAGCTTAAAGATTTTGATATAGAATGCGTAGAAGCAAGAAAAGATAATAAGAAGGGAAGAGCGAAGGGAGGAATAATCTTAGGCATAAGAAGAGGATTAATGGACGCACAAAGGAGATTAAGAGCGACAGAAGAAGTAATAGCAGTAGAAGTGAAAAAGAAGGAAAAAACCTACAAGATAATTGTCACATACATGAATGAGAAGAAAAAGGAAAACTGGAAAGAAATCAAGAAAGTTTTGGAAGACAATGAGAGGACGATAACTATAATTGGAGGAGATTTCAATGCGAGGATAGGAAAAGAAGAAGGATGGTTAGAGGAAGAAGAAACTTTCAACCTAAGAAGCGAAATGGAGAAGGAAAGAAATAGAAAATCAAGGGATAAAACAGTTAACAAAGAAGGAGAAAAAATGTTGGAGGAAGTAAGAAATAATGGATTGTATATAGTAAACGGTAACATGAATGGAGACGAAGAAGGAGAATTTACATATATAGGCCCAAGAGGTATGACAACGATTGACTACCTGTTAACGAATATAAGCGGGAAAGAAATTATACAGCGCATGAAAATTGGAGAAAAAATAGAGTCAGATCATATGCCAATAGAAGTAACATGGAAGGAAAAAACAGAAGAGAGGAGAATGGAGATAAGGAAAGAAATAACGGATTGGACACAGGAAGGAATCAGAAAATATCAAGAAAACCTAAAGGAAGAAGAAATAGTTAGGGCAAAAAACTGGAAAGAACTAAAAGAAATAATAAGGAAAGCTAAAAAAGACAATCGATAATAAGGAATACCAAAAAAGACAATCGAAGAAAAAGTTAGGAAAGAAAGATGGTACGATAAGGAATGCAGACAGAAAAAGAGAGAACTGAAGAATTTACTAAAGCTCTGCAAGAAGGAAGGAAAAGGGCAGAAGAGATTTTATGAAGCAAGAAAAGAATACAAGAAACTACTGAAGGAGAAGCTAGAGAAGGAAGGAGAAAAAATTATAGAAGAAATGAGAAGGGATAAAACGGAGAAGAAGTTTTGGGAAATCGTAAATCAAAATAGGAAAAGAAGAGAAGGAATAGACGAAAACATAAGAAGAGAAGATTGGATGAAACACTTTACAAAACAGTTAGGAGGAACAGAAATAGATATAGGTGAGGAGGGAGAGAGAACTGAGGAGGTGACCAATGAGGAACTGGAAAAAGGCGGAAACAGAGGAGCGGATTGCAGGATAACAGAAGAGATTACAGAAGAGGAAATTGAAGTGACAATAAGAAAGCTAAAAAAGAAGAAGGCAGTAGGGCCAGACGGAATAGGTAACGAGGCATGGATCTACGGAATTGAAAAGCTAAGAGGAAAAATGAAGGAAATTTTAAATAAAATGTGGAATGGAGGAAAGTTAACAAAAGAATGGAAGGAAGGTATAATAACACCGATATATAAAAAAGGAGACAAGAAAAAAGCGGAAAATTATAGAGGAATAACGTTGATGGACACGGGTTATAAAATTTATACAGAAATAATAAGAAGAAAGTTAAGTAAAAATTTAGAAGAGAAAAAAGGTCTTAGTGAGACTCAATTAGGATTTAGGAAGGAAAGAGGCACAATTGATGCGGTATATATCCTAAAGAATGCGATAAATGAATCAATAAGAAGAGAAAAAGGAAAGTTATACGTGCTATTCGCAGACATGAAAGGAGCATTTGACAGACTAAAAAGGGAAGAAATTTGGAACATGCTGGAGAAAATAGGTATAGAAGAAAATATAACGGAAAGAATAAGGGACATATATACAGGAACAAAGAGCACAATAAAGATAAAGGAGAAAAGAATAGGATCAATGGAACTGAAGAAAGGAGTCAGACAAGAATGCCCCCTCAGCCCGACCTTGTTCAATGTGAGCCTTGCGGATTTGGAAGAGGAGATGAGAAAAGTACAAGAAGGAGGCGTAGTATTAGGGAGAAAGAAAATTTACTCACTGTCATATGCAGACGATGTTGCACTAATGTCCACTACGCCAGAAGGGCTAAAAGAGATGATAGAGAGATTGGGAAAGTATTTGGAAAAAAAAGGCTTGGAATTGAATACGGAAAAGTCAAAGATAATGGTGTTCAGAAAAGGACAAGGAAGGAGAACCAGATTAGAATTCAAATGGAAAGAGGAAGTAATAGAAGAAGTGAAAGAATTTACATATCTGGGATACATAATGAAGGGCAACAACAGTGATGAAGGACAAATTAAGAAGCTAGAAGGTAAAGCTAAAAGCGTAGTAGGAAGAATTTGGAGCATAGGAGAGAGGAAATTTAAAGAAGATTGGGATAAAAGGATAAGATTATTCGATGCACTAATAGAATCAGTAATAATGTATGGAGCCGAAATTTGGGAGTGGAAAGAAAGGAAAGAACTTGAAAGAATACAAAGGAAATATATTAAATGGGTGCTAAAGCTTGACAAGAATACACCGGATTACATAGTGATGAAAGAAACAAACAGGGATGATTTAATAATTAAGACAGGAAAAAGAGCATTAAAATATGAAGAAAAGTTGGAAAAACAAGAAAGAAACACGATCCTGGGAGAATGCTGGAAAATACAAGAGAAAAGAAGAGAAGAAAAAAGCCAAGAAGACAAGAGAGAATTCTTGAAGAAAAGAGGATGGTCAATAGAAAAGTATTGGGAAAATAAAGGTAGGAAAGAGTCAGTGTGGCAAAGATTGGAGGAGAAAGGCAGGGAAATACAGACAAATTATAGAGAAGAAAGGATAAAGGATTCAAGATACGCAGAAGAGATCAGGGAGGTACTCTTGGAAGAACACGGAAGGAGATACATGGAGAGAGACCAAAGACTAAGAAAAGATGAATTAAGTACGGTGGCTAGGTTTAGAACAGGAAATGAAAGCAGAAAGTGCATGTTCTGGCTAAAAGAAGAGGAAAGGTTGTGCAGATTATGCGGCAAAGAAGAGGAAAGCTACGAGCATGTATTTGAAAACTGTGGAAAGGTTAAAAATAAAAATGGGAAGTGGAGAGAGATACTAGAGGGAGAAAAAAGAAGTCTAGGAAGGATGAAGGAAGTATTGTGGAAACGGAAGGAAGAGGAGAAAAGAAAGGAAATAATAGGTGGAAAATAAAAAGAAGAGAAAAAGAAATTCAGAAAAGTCAATAAGGAAGGAGTGCAGAGAGGAGAGAGATCGAGAGGATATCTGGAAGGGAGGAGATAGGTTTTAGATAGGTATACAAAGACTGATTAAATGTATTAGAATAGATAGGAGAATGAAATATTTAGAGATGGAAGAAGAAGGAAGAAAGAGATGAAATAAATTATAAAAAAAAAAAAAAAAAAAAAAAAACACACACACACTAATACACACGCAAATAAAATGAATAAATGAATCTTGACAAGTTGACATAAATTGTATAAAATTAGTCAATAAATATACTACTACTAATATAATAAAATATCTAGAAATTTACTGAAAATAATAATTTAATTATATAAAATTAAACGTAAAATTAAATTTACTAAAAAAACAATAGATTTTATAATACATGTTATTACATAATTAACTCGAAATTTCATAACAGTGCATCGTCAAAGCAGAGGTAATAATGAACAATTTTTGTCTTCAACAATGATCGATATGGAATTGGCGATTCTACCTTGCCGAAACACTCAATTCAATATGATTTTCAGTCCTATGTTACATTATAATCCGGATGAATGTGAAATAACTATAGTCGCACGTAAACAGATTACACTTACAAAAGCTTGGTAGCGACAAATTTGGAAAGGTAAAAATTAATCTTTTCAAGCAATGTTTCAAAACAATTTCTGGATCAACAAAACAGATATGTATTTTCTAATAAAGATATAAATTACATAAATTTTTATAATAAATTATAAGTAATATAAAATTTAAATGAGACAACAAACATCCACTTTATTATATAATTTGCTAAATTATTTAATATAAAGTATAATATAATATTACTTGACATTAAACTATACACATTTTCTAATGAAGTACGTATGTAAATTTGTGTGAAATATTTTGCAGGTGTTTCAAGGAAAGGTGAAAAACTTAGAAAGATCGGGTACAGAGATATCCGTTGCAATAAAAACGCTTCGAAAGGATACTTCTTCCCATGAGAAAAAGAAATTGATAAAGGAAACCAAGCTTATAAATCATTTTCGACACAAACATATATTAAGATTGGCCGTTTGTTTAGATGGAGTTTCTCCGTTATTAGTGTTGGAATTGATGGAAATTGGTGACCTGTTAAAATATTTGAGAGAATGTCAAAATTTGCAAGCGTCAGATTCGCATGCTCTGCGTTTGCAAGATTTGTTCGCCATGTGCGAAGATGTTGCGCGAGATTGTTGTTACTTGGAAGAGTTGCGTTTCGTACATACAGATCTAGCGTGTCGCAATTGTTTAGTATCTTCGAGAAATCGCGAGGATCGTATCATCAAAATTGAAGATTTTGGACTAGAGATATCTACAAGGATGATTATTATCGCATGGTAAATACAATTATGAAAAAAATTTAATGTTTAAAAATTGAATTCTTTTTAAAATATTTTTCATTTTTTTGTCATAATAATATTCTGCATTGTTTCTTTAAGTAATATAGAATCCCTAAAAACTTACCTTTTTAAAAAAAGGTAAAAGAAGGGTTAATGCCAAGTTAATGCACTAATTGTATCCAACTGTCATATTGTCTACAAAAATAGTGATATTAAAAAATTGCGCCAACTAAAAATAAAAATTTGTACAAGATAAATAGAAGTACAAGGAAGAAAACTTGTACAAGTTAAATAGAAATATTTTAATTGAAAACATTGTTATACAAAATAGTTGCTTTAATTTTCAAAAATAATAATATTAAAAAATTAAAAATTTAATTAAAAATTGGAAACTGAAAATTAATATAAAACAAGAAAGTAAAAAAAAATTTTAATTAAAAAACTTGGCGCTGCCAATTTTATTAATATATTGTTCAGCTTAAAAGCCTAAATTTTTAAATGTAAATCAATATAAATTAATTAAATAAATTAGATCATTAAATTTAAATTAACAAATCAATAATGAATAGTAAAAGGCAGTAAAGAGCCAACGCAGTTGTAGGGCGTGGATAAAATAATTTCCAAGACAGCAATTCAATTTTAACGATCCTGTCGCTTTATTCCAAACGTTTCGGACTTAATTCGAGCCTTCTTCAGTGATTCTAATAAACACACAGAAAAGATAAATAAATCAAATGAGGAAAAAAAATAAAAACGCAATATCAATAAATGCAAGAGAGAGGAAAAAGCATAGTCACATGTATGCATGATCTATAAGAGCGACACGACTTCGTCAAGGCTGGTCCATTCGAGAAAGCACGATGCAAAAAGCCCTCTCAACGGTACAAAGCGCGAAGAGCGATGCACTAACAAAATAAATAAAACCAAAACTAGTCACAAATCTTAAAAAAGAGAAATTCATTGACGCTAATTAAAGGCCACTCACTCACTCGGACAAGAGACAGACCAGCAGAAACGAAACGAAACAATCGACAAGCACACAATCGAATAGGCCGATAATTCGAACGGCAACGGTAATAATCATATTGTGGTCGGCAATAACAAACTGTATGTAAAGAGGACAAAGCCAGTCAAACAGAAAACAACCCGTTAAATCTTAGGCATGTTTCCAATTATCGACAGGCACGAAGTATTTAATTTTAAAGTATCGCTTTGGAGATTCAACGCATTCTTTTGGCGCTTAATATAAATCATTTCGGAAATAAGTCTTTTTCCTAAAAACGTTTCCTCATCCAAAATCTCGACATCATCGAAATCAAAGGTGTGCGTTGGCTCTTTACTGCCTTTTACTATTCATTATTGATTTATTAATTTAGAGGAGCCTTTAACTTTGTTTATTTTATTTTAAATTTAAATGTTAGACTAATAATTGGAATGTTTCAATCTTTTAAATTTCCATATTATATAAAGTTGATAAAATTGAAAAAAACATAAGCTTGAATAAATCTCATAGAAATTTCTAAAGTAAAAAGTATAATTTGTGAAAATAATATAAGAATTATAATAATTAAATTATTAATTGAAGATCCAGAAGATCTTAAGAGAATTAATAATAAATGTCCAGCAATTATATTTGCTGTTAAATATATATTTAATTGGAATATATGCCAATTTTATTGGCAGCGCTATTTTTTTAATTAAAATTTTTTTTACTTTCTTGTTTTATATTAATTTTCAGTTTCCAATTTTTAAATAAATTTTTAATTTTTTAATATTATTATTTTTGAAAATTAAAACAACTATTTTGTATAACAATGTTTTCAATTAAAATATTTCTATTTAACTTGTACAAGTTTTCTTCCTTGTACTTCTATTTATCTTGTACAAATTTTTATTCTTAGTTGGCGCAATTTTTTTATATCACTATTTTTGTAGACAACATGACAGTTGGATACAATTAGTGCATGAACTTGGCGCCCTCCTTTTACCTTTTTATAAAAAGATAAGTTTTCGGGGATTATATCACTTCTTTTTTTAATCTAATTTGCTAAAAGATATTATATTAAAAATAGTATGTATATATATATATATATATATATATATATGTATATTCTTTTAATATATAAGCAAATTATATAAAAATATATATAGAATAAGTATATATAATATACATTATATATATATATATATATATATATATATATATAATTAATATATTATATATATTTATATTTAGATTGTAAAATAGATATATATATTTATTTACCTATTTACCTTGCTCCAATTATCATATTGTACTGGCTCTTGCCAATTTTTAATTAGTAATTTAATTATTTATAACTTGCACTTTATCACAACTCAAAATGCGGTTAATGATACATGTCACTAATGACACATATGACACATGTCATTAATATCGCAAAGCGTCGCTAGCGCAATCTTTTGTCGAGAGTAGGAAAAGGACGTTTTCTCTTTCTATGTGTTGTGTACATATGCGTTGATGACCATGATGATGATAAAGACGTTTCTTAATTGAAAATTTTTATATTACGACTTTGCATTATGATATCTCCGTTAATAGATCACGCAGCGCAGAAATAAAGATACTTTCTTTATACAGTTCAAACTCGCTCTATCGATTAAGGCTAGTAAGAATTCGATCCGTTGTAATTTTTTCGAGTTTTAATTATAAAAATTTCAGAAAAATCAATGAATAATTTGACAAATTCTATACATGTATTAATAATTAAATTTTTAAATAATTAAAATAAATGATCGATAAATATCAAAGATCAATTTACTGCTAATTAAGAAGATTTATAGAAATACGGTTAAAAATGTTTTTATCCCACAGCAGGCATTTTGTATTTTATTAATAAAAAGATATAAATATGACAATGAATATAAGAAAATATTTATTTCATCTTTAAATATTAGAATATCTTTCGCGATTAAATAATTTATTTCCTATCAATTTACATACAAGTATCTTGTTATACAGTACTGGTGCTACCAACATTTCGTGCACATAGCAATGAACAAAACCAGAAATTGTGCACATTATATATTACTTTCTAAGAAAATTCATGGACATTGGCTTTGTAGTTCATGTCCACGTTTTCAATGTCCATAGAAGGAGTATCGCCTTCAGGGATCACCTAAAAGCAGGTCATGACATCTCTCAGTCTTCTCTCTGACGATATCTGTTATATACGTGATAGACTTAACATCGTCAGGATTAAACTGGAAATAAAGAAAAAAATTAAACATACTATTGGTATGATTGTAACGCAATCACCGTAATCATATATATATATATATATATTTGCCTTTGACTGAGAAATGTAATCCTCATACTGGTATGATAATTGAGTGGAATTACAAAAGCAAAGCTGCGTTCGTAAAAAAAAAATTTAGGATATATAATATACATATTTTAAAGTCATACATAAGTAATTTTTTAACTTTTTTTCTATGAGGATATTGTGATATTGTACACATTGTAGTTATTATAGATATTATAAGATTAAAAATGCAATGTTAATATTGTATTATGAAAAAAATGAAATATATTAGAATATAAAAGAATATATGTAGAATTTATTTTCCATATATATGCCAATATTTTTTGTGAGTGCAGCTTAATCTTAATCTTAAGCTTAATCTAGTCAAACTTTTTCATTGATAAACTAACCTGGATTTCCACAACAGTACTTACAACAGCGATTTCCAATTTCGACTCGGTGATTTAGTGCTCGGTCATGTGCAATGTGTTACATAATTCTATAATTAAATATAATTAAAAATTGACAAATAACAGCCAATAAAGCGCTCTGATGAGAGATACTCCTATTTCATTTAATATGTAGTATTATTATATAATATTATAAAATGTAGTATTATTATATAATATTATAAAATATTAAAATATTTGTGATTTCCGCGCAATAATTATATATATCTTTATTTTAACTTAAGATTTATAACTTGTGGATTTATGATTATTAGCATATTGTAATATAAACATTAGAATTATTCGAGAAAATGTGCTCGCCAGATTACTGCATCGTTGTATCTGTGCATCAATTATGAAATGATTTATATGTTATTTAATATTAATAACATATAAACCTTATATGTTATTTAATATTATTTATAATGCAATATCATACATATCTATAAAAGTTGTTAGTATTTGATGATCTTCCGAAATGATAGACCGTAATTGTGTGGAAATATTACACATTATCAGCTTTATAAATGGAGATAAAGCAATAAGTATAGTTCATTTATACGATTGCATACTTTTGTAATCATCAATAATATAATTTAAATATATAGTAAATCATTAAATATAAAGATAAAGTATGAATATATACTTATTCCGAATGATGTAAAAAATCATGTATGATAACTGTTATAAATTCAAAATAATTATATTATTATATTTATATATTCACAAATAATTATAGAGGATATTACTCGTGTTTCCTCTTTCACTCATAAATTTTACAATCAGTTTGTAATTATTGATTATATATAATGTCGAAAATTCATTATATTTCCATGTTGAAAAAAATATTGTTTATACATATTTATATAATCGCAATTATTAGGTTTCGCTTCCATTACTCAAAAACACAAATTAAATATATCGTTATATTACGTTGTTTACAATTATAAAAACGGATATTTTTTAATAATCAAAATTTTATGGAAAATAAGATTAAAAAATTTCTTTTATCTTCATTGATAAATCTAATATTAAGATTAAACCTAAAAATAACAGAATCAATTTAGAAAAATTCTAGAAATAATTTTTTTACATTAAGATTTATTAAATCGTTTGGAAAATAAGATAATTATTAATTTAATTATATCGGCTAAATAGTATCGACTGGACTCAGTAAGGCATCTTCCATGTTCTTTCTTAATGCTGTAATATTTTCTAGACAAAATTTGAAATTTGGTCTCGCATCCGCTGCACTCCAGCAACGTAGCATCAACTGGTACAACGGTGACGGACAGTTAAGAGTCATCGGCAACCTGCCTCCAGCACGTACATAATTTATCACTTCTTCATTAGTCTTGGCACTATAAGGTTGCTCACCCAACGATGTAATTTCCCACATTAATATTCCAAATGACCAAACATCGCTTTGAGAAGTAAATATTCCCATTATCAAAGATTCGAGTGCCATCCAGCGAATAGGAAGCAAAGTTTCTCCTTTCTAAAACATAATTTAAATAAAAATTTAATTTTCTGATTTAAGTTGTTCATTTCTAGAATGTGTGCAAATAATCAATAACGTTAATTTATCTCTTGCTACATATAAATAAAAACTACTTATATTCTATATTACTTAAAAAAGTGTACGATACTATTATGATAAAAAAATAGAAAGTTTTTAGAAGAATTCATTTTTTAATTATTAACTTTTTTCCATAATTGTATATACCACGCGATAATAATCATCTTTGTAGATATCTCTAGCTAGTCCAAAGTCTCCAATTTTGATGACACGATTCTCTCGAGTCTTCGAAGATACTAAACAATTGCGACACGCTAGATCTCTATGTACGAAACGCAACTCTTCCAAGTAGCAACAACCTCGCGCAACATCTTCGCACATGGCGAGCAAATCTTGCAAACGCAGAGCAAGCGAATCTGACGCTTGCAAATTTCGACATTCTCTCAAATATTTTAACAGATCTCCAGTTTCCATCAATTCCAACACTAGTAACGGAGAATCTCCATCTAAACAAACGGCCAACAATCTTAATATATGTTTGTGTTGAAAATGATTCATAAGCTTGGCTTCCTTTAAGAATTTCTCTTTCTCAAGGGAAGTAGCATCTTTTCGAAGCGTTTTTATTGCAACGGACATCTCTATGCCCGATTTTTCTAAATCCTTCACCTTTCCTCGATACACCTGTGAAATATTTCACACAAATTTATATGCGTACTTTATTAGAAAATGTATAGTTTAATGTCAAGTAGTATTATATTTTACTTTATATTAAATAATTCAATGAAAAATATATAATAAAGTGCATGCTTGTTGTCTCGTGTAAATTTTATATCACTTATAATCTATTAAAAAAATTTATGTAACATATATCATTATTAGAAAATATGTATCTATTTTGTTAATTCAAAAATTAATTTGAAATATTGCTTGAAAAAATTAATTTTTACCATTCCGAATGCGCCGCTACCAAGATGTTTTGTGAGTGTAATTTGATTTCGTGCGATTTTAGTTATCGCATATTCATCCGGGTTATAATGTAATATAGACATAGGACTGTAAATCATATTGACTTGAGTGTGTCGGCAAGGTACTTCATGTAGAATCGCCAATTCTACATCGGCCGTTGTTGAAGACAAAAATTGTTCATTATTATCTCTGCGTTGACGATATACTGTTTTAAAATTTTGAGTTAATTATGTAATAATATGTATTATAAAATCCACTGTTTTTTAGTAAATTTATTTGTTTAGTTTTATATAAGTAAATTACTATTTTTAGAAAAGTTTTAGATATTATATCAGATATATATATGTATAATCTACAATTCAAGTCGATACCTAAATCAAATATACTTACAATAATAAAAGTAGCAGATGCAGATTGTAGTAACTATAACGATAAAACTTAATATGAACAATAAGTAATATTCTGTCTCTATTATTCCAGGAGTGCTCGGAATAGCTATATTAAGCAAAAATATAATTTTAATATCTTCGTCTGTGTATGTTTTTATAAATTTAATTTTACTTATAACTTTAATACAAAATATAATACAAAATATAATTTTTTAAATTTTAGGCATATTTATATCTAAAAAAATTAGAACATAATATCTATGCAGCACAGAATATTACAACTACTTTGTAACAATATTGCAATATTACAAATATATTTTCACTTCATTTACGAATACGATATTAATCTTCAAAGATAATATATGTTTTTATTAAGAATACTATTATATCTATTATTATATTTTTCTATGCACTTTTAAGCATTTTTTACATGTAAATAAATATAAGGTAAATTTTTTTTCAGACATCGAAATATCTCAAGAAATACGCATTGTCCGAAAAAATGTCCGTAATAAAAACTTTATTTTCTAGGGGGAAAACCGACCTCGCGAAAATTAAGTTCCCCTCCATTCCAAGATTTGCAATATTGCAATGATTCAATAAAATTATTCTTTAATATATCTGCAATCTTATTGTACTGTATAGATATTTTCATTTGCTTATCACGTTTGCTACCACGTGTTGAAAAAGTAAATCTTTCATCAGCCAGCCATATAAAATTTTCCTCGTATTCGAGGTATTTCAATATCAAGCGAAACTTGTATAAAGTTCCTGATTGTAAATTTTCGACATTGTATATTACTTCACTGTTATAATTCATTTTAATATAATTCATTGTTTGCCACTTTCTGCTACAATATCTTTGTACTCTAGTATACAAAAGATCATCAGATTAATGTTTGAGATCCACGAAATGTTCATGCTATTTATGTTGACCTCGCTCAAAGTAATATTGTTTAATTCTGAATATATATGAACGAAGTTGTTTAAACTCCCGTTGTAGAAATCGCTGAAATTATTTGAATATACACGCACGTATATCAAGTAATTTTGTACTGGTAGCGACAAGTTAATCTTTGTGAAAAATCTGCCGTCTGCCATACGTTTCGGTACATTGATAAATTGTTTGCTCTTGTGTTGCGTGCCGTTCACTAATGTAACTTCCAACGCACTTCGTATGTCACGGCCACGCAGTTTCTCTTTCTTGAGTGGCATCCAATGAACTACTGCTATAGTAGGCGTCAAAACTAAAACACTTATGTTTTCTGGTGCATCAAACTTACCGGAATTAGTTTTTATTGGTATCACATTCGAATCAAATGGATTTATTGATAATTGATCAAAGTAAAAATTGCTTAAAGTAAACTTCAACTGGTACTCTGTACATGGTGTTAAGTTTTGAATCTCGTAATATCGCTCGAATGTCACATATCGTAGCACATTGAATTTCTCCGACTTGTTGAGATTGTTGTCTAAGCTTACGGAGATAGTATATATAGTAGTTGGTAAATTATATTTTTTGCATCCACTCTTTACAACCGGCTTCGGAAGATTCACAATAATGCTGTTTGTTGTTGTATTCACATTCTCAAAATTATAAACTTTCTCGTCAGGTGTCAGGCATCTCATTGGAGGATATGGTTGTAGAGATTTATCAAAAGCGTGAATTTCACGAACAAATTTATATGAGCTTATTATTATCTTTTCAACATATTCGGCTGCATTTACGCTCTTGAGACTTGCATATTTCTTTTTCAAAACATAGAGAGAAAATTTATCCCAATAATCACTTGTTAAAATGTAAATGTTTCTTTTGTCAATCGTCATAGATTCGAAACTGGAGGTATCACTTATGTTTTCCTTGTATAAAATCGTATTGCACATAGAAATGTTAATGTCTGTCACAAATGTGTAATCATTATTTAACCAGTAAATTAATGGCACCTCATTATTCATGTTATCAATTATCATATTATGAAAAGGATCTGTAATATAATCAAATAGGCATACATTTATCTGAACAATTTGTTCGATTTTTCCATCCAGATGATACTTCATCATACGATATTTTGTACTTGTCCAATTGTAAAATAGGGTATATAAAATTCTGAGAAACATATATATTATTATTTTACTGTAAAACATTATTTCAACTAAAATAAAAATTTGTATGTAGTAAAAATTCGAAATTCTTATAATTATATTATAACTTATTATATTTTTTACTTATTATCTTAATTATAAAACCACGTAAATTTATAGAAAAATTACAAATATGCATAAATCTTTAATGGAAAATTATTTTTTGTGAAGTGAACGGTAGTATACGTACCCCATAGACGGTGATACACTTAAACGGCGAATATAATTTTTTGATTTGAAAATCTCATCAAATTTAATTATGCCATTTTCCCACATTGTTAAGTCGAACTTTACAATATAAAAGTAGGCTGTCTCATCATCATACTCATCATACGTGAAATATAGATTTCTTGCTACCCAGTCAATGCAAAGATTATATGGATATTTATCAAAGCTAGCTATTTTTGTGATATTATTTTCATTAATCTTCAATGTCATTAGGTCATTTACCCTAGGTGTTAGCCAATAAAATATATGTTCCTGTATCCAATAAGCGGCATGTGTTACTGATCTGAAATTAAAGAGCTATTACTGATTTGAGAAAACGGAACTATAATTCTATAGTAAAAAATTATAGTTGAAATTTCTAATTTTATAGTTATTATTACTGCTATAATGTTGATAATAATAAACTTGTCCATAATAATAATAACTTTAATTTTATACTTAGTGTTAATAATAATTTATAATAATTATAACTATTTTTTTATCAGTATACGTACTCTGACGTTACGAAATTAGTAACGTTTAAATCCACGTCCAATATTTCCATACCTAGACGCGTTGCGAGTAATAATTTAGGTATTGGATTTTCATGCGTAGTCGACACATTGATTAAATCCGTGTAAGGACCAGCAACAATTTTAGTATGCGCACGTACTCGAAAATAATATGTCGTGTTAGATGTTAAATTGTGCACCGTGTGCTCCAATTTTATAGTTGTGATATTTTTATCATCGCAGATTTGAATCTCTTTTAAGTCCTCGATGAAAAAACATTGCACTGTGTATCCCTGTATTATTTCATCGGTAAATTCAGGTTGGTTCCATCTGTAAAAACATAAAATTTTAGTCATTTTACAATTCAACATTATAACAGAATTAAAATTTTGATATATTTATATATCGAATTTAAGAAAAAGAGAGAAAAATAAAAGAATACAAATTGGGAATTTAGATTGCTTACCTCAATGTCACAAAAATGTCGTTTACTTTTTCTGTAAATTGACTGTCGGATTGTACAAATGCTCTGAGAGATGTTGGCTTGCTTTCTAGAGATTTTAAGAGCATACATATTAATTATATATATTATAATTATATATAAGATTAAGTGAATTATCTAAGAAAAAAACAATATAATGTGAAAATAAAGGAATAAATGTAAACTACAAAAAAATAAATGTAAACTACAGAATACGGAAATTAGCACAGTATTGACTTTTAAAAAATAATATAAGAATTTTTTGTGTCATTTAAGATTTAGAAAAGTAATCGTTAATTTATGGCAAAAACGAATAAATAACATTTAATAAAATGACAAGTATTTTTCGATAAATTCCTATAGTTTAAGAAATCAGAGGTATAATATTTGTGACTGCTTTAGAACAAAGTATCAAATTAATAAAATTGACTTTACTTTAAATTATGACAATTTTTATGTATACCGTTATACAGGGTGATCCAAAAGTAAAACGGCCAAATAACTGTGGAGGAATGCACTTTGGAGAAAAAAGTTTGAGACAAAAGTTGTAGGATTTTTCTCGGGCAATCCGACGGTGACCTTAGATTTGACCTTGGATAATCATTTGAAGGTCACATAAAGATTACCTTCAATTTCTTAAATGGAACCCCCTATTTTTCATTGCATATTCTTGTAGCTTATCTCGAAAGCTTTCCAAAACACTATAATTAAGTACCTTTTTATTAAGTACTTTTTGAGTTATAAGGCTTGAAATAATTTCTTAATTTTACATAAACCATAAAATATCTAGTAAACCATTCATTTTTCGATTATCTTACCTTCATACTTTTATGTACAAAATAATGAGAGGAATCAATTGGTGTAAAGAAAACACATAGTTGTTTCTAAGAAAAAATATGTAATTTGCAATTAACAATTCCATATTTTTTCTTAAAAACAACTGTATGTTTTCTTTACACTAATTGATTCCTCTCATTATTTTGTACATAAAAGTATGAAGGTAAGATAATCGAAAAATGAATGGTTTACTAGATATTTTATGGTTTATGTAAAATTAAGAAATTATTTCAAGCCTTATAACTCAAAAAGTACTTAATAAAAAGGTACTTAATTATAGTGTTTTGGAAAGCTCTCGAGATAAGCTACAAGAATATGTAATGAAAAATAGGGGGTTCCATTTAAGAAATTGAAGGTAATCTTTATGTGACCTTCAAATGACTATCCAAGGTCAAATCTAAGGTCACCGTCGGATTGCCCGGAAAAAATCCTACAACTTTTGTCTCAAACTTTTTTCTCCAAAGTGCATTCCTCCACAGTTATTTGGCCGTTTCCATACTTTTGGATCACCATGTATATATATTATGCTTTTTTATTTTTTTTTGGACGGAATAGAATTTATATTCTTCTTACTACTGGAAAATATTTTTGATTTCCATTCTCTCTTGAATTTAAATTATATTTACACTTTTCCGTCATAGATTTTGTTATTAATGTTTTATGCATTTTTTTGCAACTTACCGATAGATTCTGGGATGATAGAAATATTTGCAAGTGGAACCTCAACCTCGACTTCTCGCTCTTTTCTTACAGTCATACTATCAGAATAACTCCTTTCAGATTTGAAATTAAGTATATGATGATCACTTTTCTCGGACATTGAAATATCCTTCATAAAGTATAACATACGAAAAGAATTAAGTGAATATTATATCGTTGAAGGTTGTTTTTGTTGGTAAATTATATAAATTATAAAATTAAACGAAAAATTGCCATTTGTTTTTTGTTTGCTTAATAATACCGGTATATACCATTCCTAAATAATATAAATTGAATGTGATGTAGTTTTATTCATATCGTAAAATCTATTTTTTTAATTTTTTTAAGGCATCTTATATATCTAACATAACTCAAAAATAAAATCAATCAATAGGTTAACGAGAGTCAATGAGGAATCATAACAGCTTTTAGTACAGCAAGTAGTACAAGCGAAAGTGTAGTTCTTTGCAATTATTAAAACAATTTTGTCGAACGATTTGATTCTTTCTCACGATAGGTTAGTTAACTCTTCTCAATTTTACCAATTTTAACAATTTTTCGTAATTCAAATTTCTTTTCAAAAATTTGCCGATATTACTAAAGTTTTATTAATGTTTGTACTTCAAAAATAAAAATAGTGTTTTTTTACAGTTATTAAATATTAGTCATAGAATTATATAAATTCTTTTATTTATAACTTTTTCAAGTTTTTTCTCGAATATCATTATATTTTTAATACAAACAAATTCTGGAAATGATAGTATGAATCGATAGTATAAACCGATAATACCTCCATAATAATATGTGGATATAATTGTATATAAATGGATATATGTACAATGAAAATTAATATAAATTCGAGTGATTATTATTGAATATATTGTCGAAATGATACTAACTTTCTAAATTAATTTCATAAAATAAAATTTACATTAGTATAAAGCTTACTATATATCAATAAATATGATATATATATATATATATATATATATATATATATATAAGAAAATAAATAAATTTTAAAAATTGAAGAAAAATAACATAAAAATCTGTTGAAGCACCATCGTATGTATATATTAATGTAGCAAATAGTAGACACAAAACTTCAATAATTTAATTGAATTGTTTTTTTTAATCTTATCCTATTATAGGTAGAATATATAATTTATTACCATTCATTTTTAGTTACACTACTGCAATAACATTCAATTGTTTCTTAATCAAGCGAAAATATCTTTTACCTGCGTGAAATTTAAATCCGGATACAGGGAAACATTTTCTTCCTGGAGGCTGTTTGAAGTAATATAATCCTTCGGCGTAATAGTTGCCTTTGTCAGTATTAAACCTTTCAATAAAATACATAAAATTGTTCCAAACATAATTTGCATTTTTCGTAACGTTCGCACTCAATCGATTTTCGATAAATCCTCAATTAGTTGTTTTTCTCACACCTACTAGTTATGATGTGTTAATCGAATTGATATTATTTCATATATATATATACATATATTTTCATTAAATTTATATATATACATATATTTTCATTAAATTCCTTAAAACTCAGTTTAGCGAATCGCAAGTTATTATCTTTTAATATTATGTTTTTAGATTTCTCTTTATGATCGCGATCACAGTATATATTTTAAGATTAAATTAGAGAATTCTTAGTAAGTAAATGGTTTTTATTTTTGTTGCAGGAGAACAAATGACAATGCAAAATGATACATATTTATTGGAATATATCGCGAATATAAGAATATAATTATTATCTGCTTTTCGTTTTCATTAATATTATAGTAGAAAAACATCGATAAAAAGATAACCACAATCAAATTACAAACAATTAAAGAAGTTATAGAATTATAGATTTTGTAACATTTTCAATCATATTCAAGCACACGCAGAGTGTATTCGAATTCACTTAAATATTTACTATATCTTTGATTTTGTTAAATATATAATTATGACGATTCGTTCGTACGATTGTGTTACTTATACAATATACAATTGTGTTACTACGTATGCTTTTCAAAATCCACTATTTGTACACAATTTTTTATGATATTCATATGATGCAGTTTGAATGAAGCGATAAGTAACGCGGTAGTGTGTTTCGCTAGCGAATAGTAACTGGCTTCGAATGATTAATCTGTTGCCATGACGTCTTATTAGCTTCATTCCGCTTGTAATTTATTTTTTCCACTCGTGGAGATTGATATCAAATGTACAATTAAGAGGATGCCGGAGTCGCAGCCGAACTCCTAGAGTCTCTATATGAATTGGATCATTTTTAATAAAATAAATAATTAAAATAATAATTAATTTAATTAAAAATGATCGGACTTATGTCATGTTTGGTGTCATTTTAATTGCAAAAATTTCATTAATGCATTGCAATTATTTTTAAATCGAAAAAATGTGAAATATAAAAATTTTATTTTTCACAATAAGTTGACATGTATACATATGAAGATAAGAAAAAGTAAGCAATAACAACCGTTAGGGATTTAAATATCGTAAAAATTAAAATTTTTATTTCGCTCTTTTTCGATTTAAAAATAATTGCAATGAATTAATAAGATTTTTGCGATTAAAATGACACCAAACACGATATAAATCGAATCATTTTTGATAAAATATCTAATTACAATTTAATAATTAATTTAATTAAAAATGATCTGATTTATGTCATGTTTGGTATCATTTTAATCGCAAAAATTTCATTAATTTATTGCAATTATTTTCAAATCAAAAATATTCGAAATATAAAAATTTTATTTTTCACAATAAGTTGACATGTGTACATATGAAGATAAGAAAAAATGAGCCTGGTGAGCAAGATTTCGGAACTCTTTGATGAACTTTTCATCTCGCTTGCTCCTTACTTCTTCTCACTCTCGTTTTGAATCGGAGATTTTTCCTTATCTATAACAACTGAGATTTCGTAAAATCATATTGTTTTTTTCCCTCTTGCATGTGTGTGACAATAATTTATATATACGCATTATTATTATTGCATTCCCTCCCATATTTTTTCTTTCGTTTTCTCGATCATATGCTCATTCTGTCTCTTTCTAATTTCTCAGTCATTACATATCGCCTCATGCTTCATACACACATGGTTACATATGTTGCGTTTCTCTCTCTCTTTCTTTCTCTCTCTCTCACTCACTTTCTTTATCTCTGTTTATTTGTTTGGTATTATATTCTTTCATTCGCTCATGTCACTTTTACTTTTTTGAATCTTGTTTCTTTATATGAAAATAGTTTTTTATATGTATGCATTTTTATTCTATAATAAATATAAAATATTTGTCTCTCTTTCTCTCTGTTTTGTTATAATAAATACATCTATATAATAAAACTTATATATATTTTTTACATTTACAGTAGAATGATCAAAATAATAAGAATCATGTGACTGATATTGTATTGTATAAAATTAATAATTGAAATAAACTTGTACTTGTTTTATTAAACATGTATAAATTCAATTTTATGATTCTTATAGCTGATAAGTATGTATTTATAATTGATAAGAACTAGTCTATAT